AATTTATGTTGCGTAGTTATTATAATATCGAATTCAATATAAATAAAATATTGTAGTTGTAAATAAAGTGGTTCGTTGAAAGTTCAACAAACTTCGAGACAAAAGGAAAACGCGAGTGCCATAATAAACGTGCAAAAGAGCTTTCACGCTTAGTTTATGACTTTGCTTTACTATTCTATTCTCGTGCAGAAATATATGTTAACTATGACACGAATTTTAAAACCACAAGAACGATTTCTATGACGGTTGTGTGGTAATAATTTTATTATGAATACTTATTATACACAAATATTTGTTGATTACATTTCTTGTGAGTATTTATCAAACAATAAGGAATAAAATTTACTTTTTGGCTTTATTCAAGAAAAAAATGCATCAAAACTCAACGATTCGATTCATATTACTCTGCAGATATCGAGAGAAAAACTGGTAGTAGGAAATAATATGGTTTATACAGTATCAATGTATTTATAAACATAAATCCTTTCACAGATAGATATTTAAATTTTGTTCTTATAAAATAGTAAACATGCACAATCGGATACCTGGTTTGATAAATTTTCTTTATATTGTAGAATTATACAGACACCTGTGTTGCAAGAACAGATTGTAAATGTCGGTGCAATCGACTGGAACAAAAGTCTGGAAACCCTATTTTTTTTCGTAAATTAATCGTGATCCTTCGATAATTCATTGCCTTAATTCTACAAGACTTCCAAGTTTGGTTTTATAAACTCGATTTTTCAGAATCTCAATAAAATAGTCTTTGTATTGAGATTGTGTGAACGAGGAAACTCCTCATCTGATAACACAGAGCATCCAAATTGGCTTTAAACTAGTATCTCAGTTAACTATCGGCTGTTAAATTTCCTTTAATAAAGAAAAAACTAATTAACTGAGTACCCACTATACGTGACCATATACATATTTAACTTATATATCCTCTGGCTACCCAATTAAAAATAAATCAGGCGTTTCCAGACTTTTGTTCCAGCCTGGATACACCAAGAGAATGGAGCTATGGTTGATAGCTCAGCAAACTGCTTGGACATAAAAGACTTTTAAATTGTTGTATCGACTTCATTAGCAAACAATTGTTGTTCCGATTTTAGACGAGATCTAATCAAAAAAACACAAACTTTTCACAACGAAAATGTGTTTAAATGTAATTAGCAACAATGGTTTCCTTTCTGTCTAAAAGCGTTTTCAAGTACGACAAAGATAACAGCAAGAAAGTGAAAATATGTCACGCTGGCTTACGTTTCTTGATTTATTTACAACTTTCATCAGATTTTATCATTACTATACAGGATGTCTCACGTAACTGGTTCGTTAGAACTTTTTAAGGTTCCACTATTCGTAGTGGTTTGAAATTTTGGTAGCATTCATTCTAAATTTTCGATCTAAAATATTTTCGAGATGGCCACCCCTTCCGGTCTACCGGAAGTAGACCACAACTTCGTTATTTTAAATGGAATGCTATAGTTTTTATTACACCTTTCAATTATACGTAAAAAAATATGTTGACTTTGATAAAAGTTGTTGGTACCTAGCGTTTTTTGTTTCGAGTTATTTTGATTTTAAGTGTTTTTTGACAAATTTCACCATGGTCTATAAAAGCCCATATCTCAGCTAACGAGCATTGAAAAAAGCTCTGTATTGGCACGACTACTCTACAGATGCTGCCAAATAGATTGTCATTTGTTGTATCAGAGAATCTTATACAGGGTGGTCAAAAATTGAATTATCGTTTCTCAATATTCAATTGCGAGAAAGTCGAAAATTTTAAATGGAACAACCCCATATTTCTTTACCCTATCAGAAAGGGAATTTAATTCTCTACAAATTATCTATAAACATTCCTATACCTATTTATTGTAGTTTCCCTGATATTGGAAAATTAATCAAAATCAGACATAGAATCCCAAAGCCCGTTTGTGTTTTTGTTAGCAGGCCAAGACATTTTGACAATTCATCGTTTAATTTATTTAAATTATTTCTACAATTAACTATGGTTGAATAACCTTTAGCTTGCTCGCTTTTATTTACCAAAAATAACCAACAGAAAAACGAATAAATGAAACAATGAAAAACAACAATTTAATAACAGAAATTAGAATGAATAACATATAAAAAAACAAAAACTTAAAATTATAAAAATATTAAAACTGTTCGATATGCTGACCATTCACCATTAAACATTTTTCAACTCTTCTTTCGACTTCTACGGTTGTGGCCCGTAGAAGTTGGTCGCCATCAATAGTACATAGTGCACGCATCACTCTATCACGCAACTCTTGTCGTGTGTTGATCGGTGAATTGTACACTTGATTTTTTAAGTGACCCCACAAATAAAAATCCAATGGTGTTAAATCTGGAGATCGTGGAAGCCATTGCCATGAATATAAAACAAATTTAAAATATCGGCGTTGGAATAATTTGCCATGATATACAATGACTTTCACTCGTGATCAAAAGTAAGTAACAACAACAATAACACAAATATGGACCAAAAACTGTCAAAATTCTATTGCCTTCTAATAAAAAAATCAAACGTTTTCCCGCATTCCGTGCATGCTTTGATTAATGTCCCAATATCAGGGAAACTACAATAAATAGGTATAGGAATGTTTATAGATAATTGGTAGTATTGGAAGTGGTGGCCATCTTCAAAATATTTTAGATTGAAAGTTTAGAATGAACAACCAAAATTTCAAACCTCTACGAATAGTGGAACCTAAAAAAGTTCTAACGAACCAGTTACGTGAGACACCCTGTATAACAGTTACAAGTTCAGTGTTAAATTAAATTATCTTTTAATTTTACTTCGGTTGCAGTTTAACCTTTGTTTGAAAAAAGAACCACGAACACCCTTCTAATACGTTGGGAGTCGAATCTTGTTATAATCAAAATTCTATCCATGTAAAATCCTATCTAATTGGGGGCTAACTTCGTTTAGATAACTTTATATAAATTAACAAAAATGTAAAAGGTATAAAATGTTTGAAAATAATTTTTTGAGCTTATTCATTAAATAGGAATTTTAAATGATTATAACCAGCTGTTACGAGTTGGTGGAGGACTGAGACAAACTCAAGGTCGATTTAACCACTGCACAAATGAGTGGTATCTGAGCTCCAATCGTGATTCCGGGTTGTAGCTACCGTACCAGACTCCTACTGGTACAGACATGTGGTCTGTTCTCCCCACTCAAAGAATACCGAAATTGGTATGTAACAGTACAACTATTCCAACTATAAACCATGTTATCAACAACAAAACAAACCTATCGTGCTTAACGATTTGTTTTTTTTTTTTTATATTTAACTCGTTATAAAGAATCCTCCTTTTGTTAGGTATAAAGTTTCTTGTTATTGTTTTGTTTCTGATTGAATTGAAATTTGAAAAAAAAATTTTGTTTAATAATCTATTATTTATAGAACCACAAGCTTGAAGTTTTTTCTATTTCGAGAAAGTTATAATCCGTTAAGTTGCCAGTTCAAGTTGATTTAAAGCAAATTTACGTTCAATTCCAAGTAAAATCCGGATTCTTTTAATCAATTATTAGTTACAACAGAATGGTTGGATATTTATCTTTTTATTAAATGTTTAGATTTAAACGATACACTTTTAAGTTTGTTAATGTAAATGCGGTTGGTATTTTATATCTTAAATGAGGTTTGTCCATCTTTTTCTGGAGGCAACGAACCGCGACCCCACTTCAACTTGAACTAAATAATACAAAAAGTGAACAACTTTCGATTATCCGGCTCTCGGCGCAGTAACTGAGCGAATCTTAGCCGAGCCGTGGAAATGGTGAGATCTGTTAATCAGAAAAATAAATGGAAATTTTTAGATAATTACAAAGTAACTTTCCAACTAATTCTCTTAAGGATCTAATACTATTTGAAATAAATTAATGATAGGTTACGATAGGTTGAACCAATTCAAGTTTTTATTTTGTTGGTATTCCAGTTCCCACTGTCAATAATAATTAAGTTTCTATTCACATCTTAGTGGGCGGACAAAGATAGTTTTCGTGAGATCTTTCTCATTGTTCAGAAATATTGTAATAATCAAATTGTTTTATATTTATTTTTGGTTACAACATGAAATATAAACTGGAAACTGTACATTTAAATTTTTAATCCAACCCACAATTTCCCAGTACCATTGTTAAAGAATTCTTTTCCCACTTGGTGAACGTTACGTAATTTCACGGAATTGCAATAAAACGGTTTTAAAGTGTCAGTAGAAACAATTCGAGATTACGTAATCACATTAATTGATTGTAATTAAATTTATTTGGCAAACAAAAGAGTTGGCGTTTTTGTTCGATTTTGAACAATAAATAGTTTCTTAACTGTTGAGAAAATGTGTTGGTAAATTTTATAGGGCCATTAAAGCCACTTAAGTTGGATACAAAACGGTAATTTCAAAATCACGCATTGGTTAAATAAAAGTCCCTCTATTGAACTTGCTTTTAAATCGGTCTTTTAAGACCAACAATAGTTGGGGAGACTATTTTTAAAAAGTAATTGTACTAAATTTAGCCATAATAGATGGTTGTTGCAATCTGTACTAAAATAAATAAACGAAAGTTAAAATAGAATGATTCATAACATTACTTTTAAGTTTATACGGTTTTGTTAAATATAAAAATATCTCAAGTTCAACAGGAAAAAATGTAAAAAGTTGATCAACTTGTTCTCTTCGTTTAAAGACCCAACCATGACAATAAAAAGGTCTTGGTAACACACCTTCGTTTGACTTAAAGACGGCGTTCAGATCGGCAAATACACTAGAAAGTCATGAATGTGTTGACAACTCGCTGGTTTATAAAAGAGGTGGAAATCCCGCTCCGAAAGAAAAAAAAGAATTCTCCGGAGGTTCTATTGAGCGAAACTTGCTGTTTTTAAATTAAGAAAAAGAAGTTGATGTACTTTCACCGGTAAATTAAAAAATAGTTTTTGAAAAAAAATTTAAAAAAAAATTCTTACTTTATTAACTTCTCGTTGGGGCCTATGGTGTATGGTATAGGAAGAACACGACACTAAGGAATTGTGCGGACTGCGAAACTGTTGGCCTGCAACTCACAAAGAACCGACTGCGACTGACACCCACTTTTGAAACAGGTTGCTTTGCTTTCGTGCTGCCATCTGAAATTTAACATCACCTGTTGAATATTTTAAGGTAAAGAATTGAAATTCGACGCTTTAAAAATACTTCTTTAAAAAAATAATTAAAAATTATATTTTTTCTTTTCCTTTATTTATTTATGAAATTATAATTTGTGAAATAAGAGAATTCAACATTAAAACAAAAAATGTTAAAGTTCGATTGGTTGCATTTTATTACAAAACTTTTATAAAAACTTTAAAAAAATTAATATCTCTCACAGATTCGAGTGAGACTTTATAGATTTAGTAAAATTAATAGCTCGATTTAATCCAAAGTTGAAATCGCAAATGCAAAACATGTCAAATATACAAATATAGTCTACTTACAGTTCACAAAGAATACCTGTTACAACTGCTGCCAGGGCTGAGAGCAGAAGCAGAAGAAGATAAACATAATATTGGTATCAAATACATTCTGCTTGTTGACTCGAGTTATAGGCCTGCAAACAAATAGCGCAACAATCGCTGTTTTGCGAAAATGGTGTATAGTGTATGGTGTTGGTTGCTGCGTTGCGCAACTGGTTGTAGAAATTCCAAATTGTTTGAAATTAGTTGCGCTACCAACTGCATTGTGTATGGGATTTGTGCGACACATTGTGCAATAACGATAGTTTCTTTTCCGGTGTCTTGGTAGAAGGTGGTGATATTGCTTCTCTCAATATTGTGTCTTGTTTTTGTACCGGCAATTTCATATAACTCGCTATATATGAATACAGTAACCATAGTTACGAAACTACTATGTACTTGCACTGTCCCACATAAAATGCAACATAGCTTAACAGTACCTACAGGCATTGAGTAGTTTTGCAAAGGAAAAGTTGTGTTTGGAAAAAGTGACGTCCTTATAACAACCCTGAGTTTTCGGCCGTCTTAAGAGAGGCACGGCTAAACCCGAATGTTTCTAGTTCTAGGTCTAAGTGTTAGTTCTAGTTTTAGACTAGCACTGTTACTATGTAGAACTAACACTATACCTAGAACGAGAATCATTTGGGTTTAGCCGCACGTCTCTAAAGACGGCTAAACCCGAATGATTCTAGTTCTACGTATAGTGTTAGTTCTAGTTTTACACTTGTACTGTCACTAAACTAACATTAGACCTAGAATTACAAACATTCGTGTTTAGCCGTACGTCTGTTAAGACGGCTAAACCGGAATGATTCTAGTCCTTGGTCAAGCGCTGCACAACAATTAAAACTAGAACTAACACTAGACATTTGGGTTTAGCCGTGCCTCTTCCGACGTACGGCTAAACCCGAATGGTTCTAGTTCTAGTGTTAGTTCTACTATTCGTTCCATAAATATATACCACAATCTAACGCTGAATAACAATTACAACTGGAACTAGCACTAGACCTAGAAACATTCGCATTTAGCCGCCTGTCTCTCAAGACTGCTAAACTCCAATGATTCTAGTTCTAGATCTTGTGTCAGTTCTAGTGTAAAACTAGAACTAGAAAGTGTTGGGTTTAGTCGTGCGTCTTCAGATCTCTTCTCTAATGGGTTGAACAATGGGTTTTTAGAAACATCTTATACAGTGTGTTAAGAAATTGGCGGATACACGCGACATTCTTCGTTCGGTTCTAAAGCGAAAATCTTAATTGCAAAATGTTGGAGGTACCATGCTTCATACGTCTTCATGAGGTTCTCAAAGTTCGGATAATTTGTCCATATACAGGGTGTATCTGAATGACGTGCCCAAACTTCAGGGGGTGATTCTTTAGGCAATTTTAAGGGTACTTTCTCATATAAACTATCAGCGATTTCGACTCCCCTGCGGAGCTACGCCCCTTCAAAAATGGCGAAAAATTTTGGTTTATCTTTTTTTCCCGAAAACCATTAACACCAAGAAAATGAAATTTGGGAAATATNGCTAATTGGTCTGTACGCCTTGGGGTCCGCGTTTGAACGCCTACCACCTTTGGGTATGAAGACCACCTTTACTTTCCTCCATAGAGTGGGTATATAGCTAAAGCTGTAGCTAGCTATATATAGGGATATTATTATTGGGAGAAGTTCTTCTAAGCCTTTTTGCAGAAAGATAGGCAGAATTCCATCTCCTCCAGGTGATTTTAGGGGCTTGAAATTCGAGATAGCCCACCTTACTCTGTTGGGATCTTTAGCTTATAATAGGGCATGTTTCGAGCCTATTTGTACTTTCAATCTTCCCTTCTAAGTTACTAAACATAACCACTCCCGTTCAATTTTTGTCTAGATCTTTTGTATGACGATGATAAATACATTGGAAATATTTTATTTAGATAGACGAAAATATTCTAAATCTTTTTTGCCTCTCTGATGTTCTTCGAAAAGTTAATAGTTTCTGAGAAAAAAATTAATTAAGCAAACATTAACTGTTAAGCTGTAGCGTTGTTAATCGAAAGTTGGAATGAATTTATAAAGAAAAAATCTTAGCAGGCTTAGCAATCTTTGTCAGAAATATTTTTGACGTTTAAATGTCAGTGGTTTTCTTACTATTATTATTGTTTTATTTAAAATTTTGAAACGTCGAGTAAGCGAGCGTAAATGCGGTAGAACTTTATTCATAAATTAATTTGAAAAACAATAATAATAGTAAGAAAACCACTGACATTTAAACGTCAAAAATATTTCTGACAAAGATTGCAGAGCCTACCAAGATTTTTTCATTAAAAATTCATTCCAACTTTTGATCGACAACCCCGTTGTTTAACGGGCAGTGTTTGCTTTATTATTTTTTTTCTCAAAAATTAGTCGTTTTTGGAAAAATTTTAGAGAGACAAAAAAGTTTTAGGATACTTTCATCTACCTATGTAATTTTTTTTTAATGTATTTACCATCTGCATAAAAAAAATTTTGCAAAAATGTAAAGGGAGTGGTTACGTTTAGTAGTTTAGAAGGATAGGTTGAAAGTACAAATAGGGTGAAAACGTGCCCTACTACCAGTTAAACATATTTCCCAAATTTCTTTTTCCTAGTGTTTATGGTTTTTGGAAAAAAAAAATTAAACCAAAATTTTCCGCCATTTTTGGAGGGGTGTAGCTCCTTAGGGGAACCCAAGTCGCCCATGGTTTATATATCAAAGTACCTTTAAAATTGCCTAAAGAATCACCCCCTGAAGTTTGGGCATGTCATTCAGAGACACCCTGTATAATAAATAAGCTGTAATTTAGAATAGAAAGAATTTTGAAAACTAGTTTTTTTGTTAAAGTTATTTTCTTTAACTTTAAAGTTCGTTTTTAACATTTTTTTCATTATCATATCTTCATGAAAAACACATTTAGCAACATAGTAGAACATTTTAACATTAAGATTTTCGATTCAGAGTCGATCGTAGAATGTCGCTACGTGTACATTATCCGCCAATTTCTAAACATCCTGTATATTTGGGTTCCTTTTAAAATTTATTGAAATATTTAGAATCTCTTAACAGGTATTTATTGCACTAGTTAACAACTTACTTATACAATACGTTACATAATAAATATTATAATTTCAATATTGCTTCTGTTTAAATATAGACTAGTAGTTGAATACTATAAATAGGTTAACGCTAGGTTTTCTTTATTTTGTATTATTGGTATATACAGTTATCACAAAGAAAAGCAACAAAAATCATTTAACCATATAATAAATTTAAGATGGGAATAAAATCAAAACTTTCCAATGTTTTAGAAAATTTTATATTTATTACCAAAGTTATTAGCAAAAACTTTTAAAGGTTGTGTCAAAATGAACGAATGAAAATGGTCTTGAAGTGAAGCGATCGTGTTAGTTGATAGCCTTGATAATTTTGAAAATATATTTTAGCTAGCTGCACCGCTCAGGTTTTGACAAATGTCTTTATAGTTTGCACATTTTAACACATCCTTCTAATTCATTATAACTTAGATCAGAAATACTCCTAAATAAAAAAATTCAACAAGAGCATCAGTAGTGGACACTTTCAACTTATGATGTTAAAAATAAATTAATGCCTATAAATAATGAATTTCCCCCAGATAACCTTAAAGTAATGATTTCAACTTCAACCATTAAGGAGTAAGACTTAGAGCAGGAAAGAAAGTACATAACTTAATTAACTATTTTAACATAATAACTGCAACAAAAATTAAGTTTTTAGAGTCAACTACTGGTGTCTTTATCTTAAAAAAGTTTTCTCTTGATAGTAAATAAGCAACAAAATAAATAATAATTGTTTGTGCAATACCTTATACAAATTCCAGGTCTTAGTTGTTTTACATAAGTCATTATACATAATTTATAATAAGTTTTATAAAAATTGTTTATCAAAATCACAAATTGGGCGATATAAAAAATTCGTTACATAGAACAAAACAACTTAGAATCACTTTTACAGTCTTCACTTAAAGATGTTTTGGTGGCCAGTTAATGAGTTTGCTTAAAACAGCATTAATTATGTTAACCAACCTGGGTTCATTTAAAGAAAAGTTGGTAAAAGTGACTCTTAAATGGCAGATTGCAGCAGAAATATATGATGGTTTAAAAGCTAAATGAATTTTACTAAATAAAGAGGAGATTCTCTTTAGTAACATATCTCAACAATCCAATTACAATTATATTACATTTTGGCGATTGGTTTTTAATCATGCCAATCGATATTGAAATGGAGAATAGAGAATAAATGAAGTTATAAACCCTCAGATACTTCCGCCACATCCTGTAATATTGTATACATAAAAATTGCAAATAATAAAGGTAAAATATAAATATTTCTTAATTATAATATCAATTCCATAAAATATAAATAAATAAAAAAAATACTATTTCTTAGACTAGATTAGATTAAGTAGCTACATACAGCCACAGAAATATCTTTAACAAGCTTTCTCATTTCAATTTATCTTTGATATGCTATTTTGGTCTCTATTGAAAAAACTATTCTTTTACCTATTAATTATTCTATTTATCTATTTTGGTTGACTAGATTCGACGTTGCATTGAGGCAAAGAAACCACTTCTATTAATGGAGTACCAAGAAGTTGTTCACAAACATGGCCGATTTCTTTATCCAACATCAATGAATTTATCTGCTCTTCATTCAACATATCAACACTAAAAATAAATTTAATTTCAAACGAATAAAATAACGCAAAAGTTAAAATTACTAACCTTGATAAACTTTCCGTATCAGAATTATCATCTTCAATATTTAAATAAGTCAAAGTTTTTTCTAACGGTGATGGTAACTTCTTTCCAGAGCTTTTTCCTCTATCTTCAGTAATACCCGGTTTAGGTTCGCTGTTTCTTCGTTCTGTTAACGAGCTAATATTTAACATCATCATCCCATGATTAAAGATTTCTTTAACTTTTTCGCCGGTTGGTCCTAATATGTTATCAAGACTTTGTCTTCTAGTTACATTGCTGTGCTCAGCTTCGCTCTTAGCGGAAGACCTTGAAATCCAATTTGAAATCGTTCCATCCAATTTAACTTTACTTCTCAACAAACTGTACTCGTTTTCGATTGATGGATTTGGTAAAGTTTTTTGTCTCGACAATTTCGGTTTTTCGTCCACCCCATCGAGTTGTTTATACGGAATATCTTCTTCAGGGCTAGATACATCTAAATTGATTTCCGTCCACTCATTCGATTGACTATGCTCCAACGGTTTTTGTACCTTTTCAGATTCTTCACTTTGAGAAATGGGCGACATTGGCGATATACTGTTTCCAACACTAATATTTTTATAACCTTCTAACTCTTCTAAGTTCGCATAAATTGGTGAGGAAACGGCCGTAAGATTTCTGGGAAGACTTTTGTACTCTTCTTCATCAATTTCATCAATAAACGATTCACTACTCTCCACGCTGATTTGTTTGTTAGCACTTAATTCTATCCCGTTCTCCTTGTTACGTTTTTGGTGGATTTCATCCGAAATTTGTTCTAAATTTCGAAGTGCGTCAGCGTAGATTAATTTTGATGTGGATACTTGCGATTCTAAGTGTTGAACTTTGTATTTCTGCTGTTCGAGGAGATTGTTGAAGTGAGCTTTCATTTCATAATATGGCCTATAAGTAATATTTTATTAAATAAAAGTTTGGAAATAAAAATTAGTACAGAAATTTAACATTAAACATTGATGAACGACGGCTAAATTTACTTACAACAACATTAACTCATGTCGACTGGCAATGTTACTCATGGATACAAGTGCTCTTCGAATAGCTAAACTAAAGAAATAAGGAAATAAAAGGAAATTATAAATAAAAAATAAATAAACCTAATAAATATAATATTCTTCATAGATTCTTGTGATATTTATTATAAATGATTATTTAGAAGTATTGATATTGTACTTTAGATAATAGAGGCCGATGTGCCGCCAACACAGATATAGAAAGGGTTGTAATGATGGCAGCACAACGCTTCGTTCACATCTTTCAGAACTTTTATAACTCGCAGAATATGAATGCAGTAACTATAGTTACGAAACTACAATGCATTTGCACTGCCCCACATAAAATGCAACATAGCTTAATAGTATAGGCATTGGGTACTTTTGCAAAGGAAAAGTTTTGCTTGAAAAAGGTAACATTCTTATGACAACGTTGAGTTTTCGGCCGTCTTAAGAGAGGCACGGCTAAACCCGAATGTTTCTAGTTCTAGATCTAGTGTTAGTTCTAGTTTTAGACTAGCATTGTTACTATGTAGAACTAACACTATACCTAGAACGAGAATCATTTGGGTTTAGCCGCACGTCTCTAAAGACGGCTAAACCCGAATGATTCTAGTTCTAGATCTAGTGTTAGTTCTAGTTTTACACTAGCACTGTTACTATGTAGAACTAACACTATACCTAGAACTAGAATCATTTGGGTTTAGCCGTCTATAGAGACGTGCGGCTAAACCCGAATGATTCTAGTTCTAGGTATAGTGTTAGTTCTAGTTTTACACTTGCACTATCACTAGAACTAACATTAGACCTAGAACTAGAAACATTTGGGCTTAGCCGTACGTCTCTTAAGACAGCTAAACCCGAATGATTCTAATTCTAGGTCTAATGTTAGTTCTAGTTTTAGTTCAATAAAAATATGCCATATTATGTCTATATTATAAATGAGTTTGTCCAAGACTACCGTATAATATATACCTTATGAATGAGTTTTCTAAAACAAAATGGTAGTCATTTTTCACGGAGTGAATAACAGCGGTGAATAATAATCATTATTCACGGGTAGCCATCTTGACCAGACTAATAATAATTATTTGAAACGTTAAAAGTTCAAAAAACGTCAATTTAATTCAATTTTTTAGGAGTTTCTAAATGTTTGACATTAAAAAAACCTAAACAAATTCCTTTTTTCGTATGATTTAAGCATAAATTAATTAATTTTCGCAAAGAAAACGACGTTTTATAAAATTGACACTTAATTTTGACAAATTGTTGTGAAGTTGGTTACAGTTAGTAACATTGAATTTGTGTCACATTGACGTTTAACCTTTATTCAAAAATTTATTTAAAAAATAAATTTATGGAATCAATTTCAATAGTCGTGGACAAAGTATAGTATTCTACTCGCATATAATGAGCTATTATTCACTCAGGTTAATTATGCCACTCGCTACGCTTGTGACAATCCATATTATATATAATCAAAGAGCTAACTGAATATATCTACTAACAAAAATGTGGCTCAAGGTGAATAGACGCAGATGGAAAGCGATAATGTGAAAGTGTAACAAAGATAGACATAAAACGGTACTAAACAGACGGGTGCATGCGCACAAAAGTGTCAAACTTGACGTTTATCGTTTTGTTGTGTCACAGCCAGTCACACCGTTATGTTTAAAAATGTATTGTTTCGTGTGTAAAGTTCGCGATAATACAGTTTCACATCACCTGTAAGTATTATAAATGTTACTTCTAATTGATAGTTTTTTATCTTATAAATTAACGCACGCCCATTATATGTCAGTACGCTTCTATGTCTATCTCGGTTCGATCACCTTGCGCAAGCTATCTCTCTCGTTGGCTCAATCCATATTATATATAATCAAAGAGCTAACTGAATATATCTACTAACAAAAATGTGGCTGAAGGTGAATAGACGCAGATGGAAAGCGATAATGTGAAAGTGTAACAAAGATAGACATAAAACGGTACTAAACAGACGGGTGCATGCGCACAAAAGTGTCAAACTTGACGTTTATCGTTTTGTTGTGTCACAGCCAGTCACACCGTTATGTTTAAAAATGTATTGTTTCGTGTGTAAAGTTCGCGATAATACAGTTTCACATCACCTGTAAGTATTATAAATGTTACTTCTAATTGATAGTTTTTTATCTTATAAATTAACGCACGCCCATTATATGTCAGTACGCTTCTATGTCTATCTAGGTTCGATCACCTTGCGCAAGCTATCTCTCTCGTTGGCTCAATCCATATTATATATATAATCAAAGGTTTTCTAAAACGTCATTTTTCATAGAGTGAATAATAGCGGTGAATAATCGTTATTCATGGGTAATCAACTTGACAGACTAATAATTATTTGAAACGACAAAATTTCAAGAAACGTCAATTTAATTTAATTTTTTTAGGGCTTTCTAAAGGTTTACCATTAAAAAAAAATGTAAACAAATTCCTTTTTCCGTATGATTTAAACATAAATTAATTAATTTTCGTAAAAAAATATGACGTTTCATAAAATTGACATTTTGACAAATTGTTATGAAGTTGGTTACTGTTGGTAACATTGAATTTGTGTCACATTGATGTTTAAACTTTATTCAAAAATTTATTTAACTTTACTTTTAAGTTTATCAGTTTTTTTTTGTGCGTGAGTATAAATTAAACAATTTGAGGTTAGGATTTAATACGAAAATGCATGGTTAACATTGCTTATAACCTCACAAAATGTAACGTCACATCGCAACTAAGTGATATTTCGGTAAGTACTACACTTTTCCGCACTTTTTTTATTATTAACGCCACGTTTAGGTCATTTTCTATCGATTAAAAAAATCATCGATTTTTACGACACAATGCTATTCTTGAAATATGCTCGCTACGCTACATGACATAAACTTAACCTTAGTGAATAATATGCTTGTATAATAATATACTATTTTATTATAAATACAATGTTTTATTGTAATGTCAAATTATATTGACATGTTGCATTTTATGTGGGGCAAAGTAAGTAGGTACTCCCTGGTTTCTATGTAAATATATTTTTGTATATTGCATCTTAAGTGAAATTCTGCTATGGAAATAGCAGCTATCAGAAGCGTTGTTGATAACCTTGTTGTTGTTAGACATGGAAATGGCGAATGCTTGGCCAGATTTCTTAAGCATTCAGTACAAAATGACTAAATTAATACTGTCGTAGCGTTTGTCAGCATATTTTTCTCGTTTTCCTATTGTGTTAAAATTTTCAACTAAATTAAAAAAAATTGTACCAATAATCTATAATGTTAGACATTCCAATTTACTCTTTGTTCTTATCAATACAGATAATCAAGTATTGAGTAAGTAATATTAATAATAAATACTCAATAATATCAGGTCCTTAAAAAGTCATAAAAAATTTGTGTTAAGATTTGATGCCAATTAAATAATCACAAATAAAAATACAAAAATAAAATAAAATTTGAAAAAGTAAACGAAACATAAAAGAATCAAGTGTAAAGTGATACATAAAATTTCTTATATTTATTAACACAAACCTGCTTTTGGAAATAGCTCTCTTTAAATCTTTCTGTAAACTTTGTACTTTAGTGTTAGAGGCCTCAAGCTTAACACAAGCAATTCTATGAGCGGTCCCAGCTGTACATCTCTCTTTTTCAGCATCGTTCACTCGTTGAGTGGCATGATTTAACATTTCTTGCCATGCAGGATCTAAAAGATTAATCTTAATACTTATATTAATGTTTGTATTAATTCTTTTTTACCCAAAGTACGACCTCCTAAACCTTGTTCTGCCAAATAAACCATTTCCCTAGCAGCACTATGAGCACTATTAGCTCTCTCATATTTCATAGCAGCTATTTGAGTATGTTTCAATGCTTCATTTGCAGAAAATCGCGCTTCATAATACGGTTTCGCTCTTTCAACACACAACCCCAATTTTACCCTTAAAGCTTCAACTTTTGCTGTACTTTCACATAATAATTGTCGAAATGAAGCCCTCGCATCGTCTAAATCTACCTCCAACCTGTTTATATTATCAGTAGCACTATTGAGCCTTTCCAACTCGATGTGAACTCTTGGATCTACACTATCCGTGTATTCCGCACCATTTTCACTCATTCTTATTCAGTTTTTATTTAAAAAATCAGGATTTATTGATAATTATTGTCATTAGATGCTGGTTTTGTAAACCTTTAGATTCAGGTTTTAGATTGAATTTGGTCTCACCTCATTGGTTTGTAATTGTTATTTCAGGACTCTGATTTAACTCTCATTGGATGATTAACCAAAACAAACGTCGAACATCGACGTCCTCCTGAAACACACCTGAAATGTTAAATGTCAAGTGGTGCAGTATAGTGGGGATATTATAATGGATGTGTATTGGGTTGCCTATCTTTCGGTGTTTTTATAAATAATAAACTGGAGTGGCCTATACTCATTTATTATTGATTAAGAATACTAATTTCAAAACACTTTTATGAATAAAATTATCTTTTTTACTACTTTAAGATTTAAAGATTTGAAACAGAAAATCATCATAAATTTTATCATTAAATTTATTGTTTAACTCTATACATGATACTGATTCCTGATTAATTTGAGATATGGCAATTATTTTTTTTACGACTTATGCTTTCACTTGCACCTCAAATGAAACAATCGGAAAATGTTACAAGAAGCAATGAAGGAGAAATTTGTTACGTGTTTATCAGAGAAATCATGTCGACTGGTGGGCAAAAATGCAATAAAATACCTGATTCGTTCAGTGTGGTGACAGTGAGACTAAGACTGCGTTTCTTACATTTTTACACTCCCCTCGTAATGGCTACGGTGGAAACGCGTTGTTCGTTTCACGTGAAATCTTCATTCATTCAACATCTTGTAGAGATTGTGCAGCTTAAATTTCCATTTAGCCATTAAAATTCTAGAATAATTGAAATCGTTAAGACATTATCGCTTTTCTCACTTGATAGTTTCATTTTACATATTTTCTAGTTATTCTTATAAAACATCATTTCTGTAAAGTTTTTCAAAAAAATTTACCTAATGACATATTTACCATCTTATGTCATTTCTGATATTAGAAGGTTTCTCCTGATGGTTGTCTATTTAGGCCGCAAGCGTCGTTGTAACAGGAAGTGCAACAGATTACGCTCGGATGACTAATTTTAATAAAGAAGGTCTCAACCGCAACGTTGAAGAGTGACAGTGAAATTTTGGTGGAGGTCTTTTGAACAGAAAAGCCTCGTGTTGAGTCGTTCTTGGGGGCCATGCGTCCAATGGCGAAGAAGTAGATGTTTGGCCTTGACAATAACATCACGAAGAACGCGGTGTCCGATCAAAACAAGGGGACCTCCTCGAGTTCTAGGCCACACTTTCACATACTTTCTTCTTCTCTTCGACGACGCCAACCAACCAGCCATTGCCTCCGTCTTACGCCGCAATGCCACATCGTTTTGCTCAACGCCCGAAAACTTTCTTTACATATTAACACAAAAAAATTTCAACATATCAAAAAATTTAAAATGTTAAAAAAATTGATTGATTTGATTAAATTAATTCCGAATTAATATCAAATCAAACCTAAAAGTAACTCCAAATATATCCAATTTCAAATCTCAATTTGAATTGGTAAACGAGACAAAATGATTTCATACTTTTATTATCCATGAATCGCTTTTTCTGCTATTTTATTGTGTTGTATCGTAAATGCATAAAGAAACGACTTCCTCATAACTTAATTCTGATAACGTAACGAAACAATGGAAAGCGGCGCGACTTTTCCTTATCGCTTATGTTGCGACGCGAACAGCTGTAACCGAAGAGTTAAGGATTCAGAAGGCAACCTCTGCGTTACAATGGAAGAAATAACACGTCACGGAGGTTATCCACAATACGTTGGAAAGTGAACGTGATTGCTTCGATTTAGATGCTAATAAATTTTGTTCGCTTCTGCTATTGTTGGAACATTTTAAGAATACGTAATTTGAAAATTTAAAACACCTTAAATATATATTTAATTACAATCATTTGAAATAATATAGATGTTCATGCGCGTCTACACTTGGCCTGAAAGGAATGATTTAAAAGTCAAAAAATTGCACTTCTCTTGGTCAACGCTCGAGCATGTGACTAAGTTGGTACCACTCAAGAGTAGCGTCCATGTTGTCTTTGTGCGTTTTGAACCATGTTAGGTTTGGACTAAGACAAACAGATCTGGGTTGGTAAATATACTTAAAATTGGATGGACTAATCCGCCCAACTGTCCAAGGTGAAGAAATTCCTTTCTCAAAGGAAGTCAAATATCTAGGAGTAATCCTAGACAAAACCATCTCATGGAATGGACGTTTACAGGGAGTTTTACATAAAGCTAGACTATCCTTGTGGACTTGTCGTAGTTTTTATTAAAAAAATTGGGGTCTTACCCCTGAAAGACTGTACTGGCGCTATGTGACTATGGTTAGACCTATGATCACATACGGAGCAGCAGCCTGGTATAGGTTCAATTATAATTGAACTATACTGCACCATTTGACATTTAACATTTCAGGTGTGTTTCAGGAGGACGTCGATGTTCTACGTTTGTTTTGGTTAATCATTCAATGAGAGTTAAATCAGAGTCCTGAAATAACAATTACAAACCAATGAGGTGAGACCAAATTCAATCTAAAACCTGAATCCAAAGGTTTACAAAACCAGCATCTAGTGACAATAATTATCAATAAATCCTGATTTTTTTTAATAAAAACTGAATAAGAATGAGTGAAAATGGTGCGGAATACACGGATAGTGTAGATCCAAGAGTTCACATCGAGTTGGAAAGGCTCTGATAATATAAACAGGTTGGAGGTAGATTTAGACGATGCTAGGGCTTCGTTTCGACAATTATTATGTGAAAGTACAGCAAAAGTTGAAGCTTTAAGGGTAAAATTGGGGTTGTGTGTTGAAAGAGCCAAACCGTATTATGAGGCGCGATTTTCTGCAAATGAAGCATTGAAACATACTCAAATAGCTGCTATGAAATATGAGAGAGCTAATAGTGCTCACAGTGCTGCTAGGGAAATGGTTTATTTAGCAGAACAAGGTTTAGGAGGTCGTACTTTAGGTAAAAAAGAATTAATACAAACATTAATATAAGTATTAACATTAATCTTTTAGATCCTGCATGGCCAGAAATGTTAAATCATGCTACTCAACGAGTGAACGATGCTGAAAAAGAAAGATGTACAGCTGGGACCGCTCATAGAATTGCTTGTGTTAAGCTTGAGGCCTCTAACACTAAAGTACAAAGTTTACAGAAAGATTTAAAGAGAGCTATTTCTAAAAGCAGGTTTGTGTTAATAAATATAAGAAATTTTATGTATTAGTTTACACTTGATTCTTTTACGTTGCGTTTATTTTTTTAAATTTTATTTTATTTTTGTATTTTTATTTGTGATTATTTAATTGGCATCAAATCTTAACACAAATTTTTTATGACTTTTTAAGGACCTGATATTATTGAGTATTTATTATTAATATTACTTACTCAATACTTGATTATCTGTATTGATAAGAACAAAGAGTAAATTGGAATGTCTAACATTATAGATTATATTATCAGTAAACTTTAACGAATTCAACGAGTAGCTGGATTAGCAATCTCTGGTGTGATAAGCACAACGCCAACTCTAGCAATGGATGTTCTGCTTGGCCTATCTCCTTTGCAAATGCATATAGGGAAAGTGGCTAGAACTACCATTTATAGATTTAAGCAACATGCTCAAAACTGTTCCGACATGCCCTACCAATGGGCTGCTTAGACTGGTTAGGCAGTCGCTTAATCATAGTTGAGAATTAAGTAAGCTTGCTTAAACTTAGTACCCTTGCTAAGTGGATAAATGGGTAGATAATAGATAACTTTTACAGCTAAATAAAATTTATCCTAATTCAAATCATTCTGAAAGTATCATTCTTTCATGTTTCATATTTTTTGTAATTTAAAACGAATCAATTTCTAATGAAGAAACAAAATAATAAATAAAATACTGTGCTTATGATCTTTTATTAATACCCTATAAATGATAGGTTAGAGAAAGCCTAATAATACTGCTACCGTAAAATATCGTCTGTCATAAAACGATGTACAATATGCTCCAGAAACGAACGGTATACGACCAGAGGAGTCAAGATGAAGGTCGGGTGAAAGTAGAACTTAGACAAATTAATCGTTGCGATTCGTTTTTATTTTATTTTATTTTGCAGCCACGGTTGAGATTAATGGCTCAATTTACTTTATGGTATTGTCCCGTACACGGTTCGAATCGCGTTCTTTGGCACTTTTTCTCGTTACCGACGATTATAAAAGCCGTTTACAAACGACAATGGTGAACGACTCGACGTCCGTATACCCCATGTAATTCACGATCTGCTTAGTGAAAGTAACGATTTAAAGAGCAGATGCAAAACTCGACGTTATAAATCGTGCGGGACGTAACCTGTCCAGCTCGAAATGGATGTAATTTTGTTTATTTCCACCAAGACAATTTAAACAGTTTCAATGTCCGGGTTTTATGTCTTCCTAGTGATTTACGCGCAATTTACTTACGAATCTCCCCTAGATATTGCGTGCTTTTATCATTTATTATATTCATTGGGCGGAAGCAATTAAGATTACAGTGACAACAGTGATTAAGATACAATTAAAGGAAACGAAATTAAGATATAAAACAGTTAAAAATAGATCTAACTGTTTCTAACGATAAGATTTAAATGTGGCTAAAAGTGAAAACTAAAGGCGGTGAAAACGCTAAGAAATAATTACAGAGAATACCATCAACCATAACGCATGTTTACGTAGCTATACAAAATGAATAAAAAACACATACAAAATTGCTTTCTAATGAACGCTTCTTAAAGGTCAATGTTATTCGGCGTTACGTTCACCTTTGAAGTCTTTTCATAGTATAATAAAATCTTTTCATAAAATAGGTAAAATTTATTAATGACTCAATTTAAATTATATTTTTTAAAAAATAAAAACACGACATTGTTATTTTTCGCACTTGGTTGACAATTTGCCGCCTTAAAAACTACTTTTTCAAGAATCCAAGACCACTCGCCTATTGTATTCCTAAAAGTAGAGCATTTCTCTGGCTTTCGTCAGAGATTCCGTAGAGACGACAAATCCTTTTCACCGAATCGTTTCGCGCCAGCAATTCTGGTCATACCGGTACGAAACGAATTTCAGTTTCAAATCTATTTTAACCGAAATTTACTACGATATTAAAAAATTAATGGTTCTCACATCCGGATTGAAATCCAGACCTAAATGGCGCCGGATCAATGCGATGCTTAAAGGTGTCATTTGAATAAGCACGTGCTCGGCTTTCGTCTGAAGTGCCTCATTTAGATGTTATCGAAGTGGGTTGAGTACCTTTACAACCGGTTAGTTTAAAGTACTTGTCTTGGTATATATTTAGTTACAGAGTTTCATTATTCCTAATAATGTGGATTTAAGTACTTTGTTTCGAATATGATGCATAGATTGACTTTTGAATAAGTTTTTGATATAACTATTTTGTAATATTCATATAATTTTCATCCATTATGTGAAAGGATGTCTTTTTTTTGTCAAAAATATATTTCCATAGAAACCAGGGTTTACCTACTTACTTTGTTTTTGTCTCACATAAAATGCACACATGTCAATATCATTCGACATTATAGTAAAACCTCGATATTACGGATTAATACGGGAAAGGTAGTGCCCGTTATAGCGCTAGTTATAGCTATAGGTGAAATAAGATATCACTATGTTGTATACTTTTATTGAACTAAAACTAGAACTAACACTAGACCTAGAACTAGAAACATTCAGGTTTAACCATGCGTCTCTTAAGAGGACCTAAAACTTTCTAGTTCTAGGTCTAGTGTTAGTTCTAGTTTTGCACTAGCACTAGAACTAACACAAGATCTAGAACTATAATTATTCGAGTTTAGCCGTCTTGAGAGACGTGCGGCTAAATCCGAATGATTCTAGATCTAGGTCTAGTGTTAGTTCTAGTTTTGTACTAGCACTATCACTAGAACTAACACAAGATCTAGACTAGAATCATTCGGCTTTAGCTGTCTTGAGAGACGTGTGGGTTCTAGTTTTAATTGTTATTCAGCTTTAAATTGTGATATATTTTTACTGAACAAAAAGTAGAATTAACACTATAGTGTTAATTCTTATTCTAGGTCTATAGACCTAACATGTGAAACAACTCAATGTTGTCATAAGGACGTCACCTTTTTCCAAGCAAATCTTTTCCTTTGCAAAACTACCCAATGCCTGTACTGTTAAGCTATGTTGCATTTTATGTAGGATAGTGCAAGTGCATAGTAGTTTCATAACTATGGTTACTGCATTCATATATTGCGAATTATATGAAACTCCCGGTATAATTATTTTATCACTCAAGTCATAATTAACCCGTCGAAATGTGGTGCTCCATAGTGTTTAAATTAATTGAAATACAAAGCCGTCTGATTGAATGTAAACGTCGCGTCGAGGCGTTTCGTATGTTCAACCGGAATGATTTACGGTTTTCTGGCGAGCTTTGCATTTTCCGTCCAATTTCATGACCTATTTTTATTCGCATGATAGTATCTGATGTTCAACTTTCATAATTCTCGACTTTAGATGGTTCCATTTCGTAGAAAGTTGGTTATTTCGTCAACCGGCTCGTTACGTTCTATTGTTCCGCATTTTATTCTCCCAGTTTTGTTTGAGATGGTCGTAGCTGATACTTACTTGTCAAAAGAATCTCACTTATTTGTTCGTTCCTTTCATGTATTTCGTTTAAAAGAGGTTGATTCGAAAATAATAATTTCGAATATGATGGGTGTTATAATAAGCTCACGAAATTTGAATACGTGAAAGTGATTGCTATACGAGTTGAAATTTGAACGGCGATCGAAAGTTCAATAGAAAGTAAAAACTTCGCAATTGTTTCCATCGTATTCGTCAGGCAATTAATAAGTTTTAGTTTCGTGTCGATCTCAAACGGATTTCTAATTACTTAATTATCGTTCTATAGCAATTTGAAAATTATGTCGTTGTTCTATACAACTCGGATAAACCATTGTACATTTTGTCATCGAGCCATTAACGGCACCACGAGAATTGATGCTCACTTTCTTACGTTCCGAGGTTCGCAGAAATGCAAAAATCTTCGTATAGACAGTTTCAGCGAAAAATTTCTCTTAAACAAACCATTAGGTAATTAAGGAAAGTTTTCAAATAAAACACGATATTGCGCTATAATTGCGCTTTGGTACAGGGGAAAATTGCGTATAATTCGACATAATTACCTACGGTACTTACGTGATTTGAAATGGAAAAGATTTGTGTTCTAGTGATCGAATTTGCAGTCAATGTACCACTAACGAAATTATTTTCTTTCGTCATAATGCATTATGTGGTTGTCGATTCGCTTTCACTAAATGTACATACAATTTAATACAATAATATAAATATATTAGTTCACTTCAAAGTTTTTAATTTTAGAACGGCTATATACAAAGTTAAACATATACCGGGAATTTCATATAACTCGCAATATAAAGGTGTCTCAAAATTAACGCAAGATTTGAATTAAATAGAAAACACAGTTTTTAGTCTTTTGATTGTAATTTTTTTATTGATTCATAAAATACATAGGATAGGGTTATTTATGAAATAACACATCGGGTAAATGGCCTCCACGGCTTTGCATACACATACGCACTCGTTTGTCGAAATTTTCCATGACCATTCTGCATAAATGTGGCTGAATTTCGTTGATGCAACGTTGAATCTCCTCCTTTAATGCACGCGTGGTTGTGGGCTTGTTGACGTAGACCTGTGGTTTTAAATAACCCCATAAAAAGAAATCTAATGGTGTTAAATCACACGATCTAGGGGGCCAATTTTGATCACCGAAACGAGAGAGTACGCGACCTGGAAATGTCTCATGCAGTAATTGAAGTGTTTCACGGGCTGTATGACATGTGGCACCGTTTTGTTGAAATCACATATTGGCCACATCAATATCATTCAATTTCGGCAAAATGAACTGTGTCACTGCTTGATCAGCCTCATTTTCAAAAAAGTATGGTCCAATTACGCCTCCAGCCCAAAATCCACACCAAACAATGACACGTTGTGGATGCATTTGTTTTTCGGCAATCACATGTGGGTTTTCAGAACCCCAAAAGCGGCAGTTTTGGCGATTAACAAACCCATCAAGGTAAAAATGTGCTTCGTCGCGTAGGATGATTTTGCTCGAAAAATCAGCATTCATTTGTTGATGCTCAATAATCCATTCAAGAAACTCTCTACGCTGTGCATGGTCATTGGGCTTCAGTTGTTGTGTTAATTGAATTTTGAAAGCATGTAGGTACAGATCTTTAGTAAGTATACGGTGTAGAGAGCTTCTTGAAATTTGCAATTCTTGTCCACGACGCCGAATTGAGGTTCCTGGATTGTCGCCGACACTCGCACGCACTGCTTCGATATTGACATTTGAACGGCTTGTTTTTGGACGACCAGTGTGTTTGGTGTCTCCAACGGATCCTGTCTCCCGAAATTTTTCAATTAATCTCTTCACAGTTGACGAAGTTAAAACAGTATTCCGACCGATATTTTGTACGAAATTTTCGAACTGCGGCCGCCAAGCAGTCATTATTTTTGAAATATTGTTCAATAATGAAGACACGTTGTTCTATTGTGTAACGCTCCATTTTTACTAACCCCTTTGATTATATATTATATGGATTGAGCTAACTGAATATATCTACTAACAAAAATGTTGCTCAAGGTGAATAGACGCAGATGGAAAGCGATAATGTGAAAGTGTAACAAAGATAGATATATTATATGTCAGTACGCTTCTATATCTATCTCACTTCTATCAGTACACCCATTATATGGCAGTACGCTTCTATGTCTATCTCGGTTCGATCACCTTGCGCAAGCTATCTCTCTCGTTGGCTCAATCCATATTATATATAATCAAAGA